AAACTACCCTTTGACTTTTATAATAAACATAAGTTCAAGGCCCAGTATGGATTTACAAAATCTGTATCAATTGTACATTCACAGGATCCACAGCTTAAGTTACTAATGTTTCTTGTGTAAAATCCTATTGGTAGTACTAGTAAAGCATTATATTTCCCTTCTTCAAATTAATTAGCTACCAAAAAATGGAAAAGAATTTTACATGCACTTTAAAACAGAAAATGGAAAGTGAATTTTTAAAATGATATGCATTAAAAGTTTAATTTAATTTCCAGTGGGACTTTATGAAATTTTCTATAACTTCTTCCTGGAGTATATAAGATCTCCAACATCTCATAAACTAATTGTGATATTAGTAGAACCATAGACAAATGTATATTTTTAGTGGAAATAGATTATGAATGAAAGCCAAGCAGCTTACTTTAGAGCCAAACTATGAGATTTTCATTAAAAACATTGGTCATAATAGGGAGAGGTCAAACGGACTCTCCCCATTATTTGTTCTGAGCAAATCCTTTAACCTCTCCTGATCATACAGTTCAGAGTACACACACTTTGGTGATAGATCAACAGCAATATTTTCTTATGTGAAAGATAGCTTATTATTACTATTGTGACATTACAACTGATAGTAACAGTTAACATTAACACTTCATATATACCAGGCAGCATGATAAGCACTTTATTATTTTACTGAATCCTCACAACAGCCCACAGAGGTAGGGACTATTACCATCATCATTTTATAAAAGGAAATTGAGGTTTAGTCCTCAAGAAGTCTTGGCGATTAAGGGGCACTTATCCATACAACCTCTACTTTTTCTAGGCACTAAAAGGGGGAAAAGTCTTAACAGCCAAAATAGTTATCAAAAGACCCTAAAGTTGGGGTCCTATACACCATGAAAGGATTACTTTCATTCTCATATAAGGGCATGCTTTTATAAAAAACAAACGTGGGCTGGGCGTGGTGACTCATGCCTGTAATCCTAGCACTTTGGGAGCCCGAGGCAGGCAGATCACGAGGTCAGGAGATCGAGATCATCCTGGCTAAAGAGCCTGTCTCTACTAAAAATAAAAAAAATTAGCTGGGCGTGGTGGCAGGCACCTGTAGTCCCAGCTACCTGGGAGGCTGAGGCAGGAGGATGGCATGAACCCAGGAGGCGGAGCTTGCAGTGAGTGGAGATCACACCACTGCACTCCAGCCTGGGTGACAGAGCGAGACTCCATCTCAAAAAAAAAAAAAAAGTTTAAAAATTTGCCAGGTGTGGTGCTGTGCACCTGTAGTTCCAGCTACTCAGGAGGCTGAGGCAGGAGGATTGCTTGAGCCCAGAAGTTCAAGATTACAATGAGCTATGATCATGCCACTGCACTCTAGGCAACACAGTGAGACCCTGTCTCTAAAAAAATAAAAATAAAAATAAATCAAGCATATAATAGGTTAATCCAGACGGAGATAGGAGGGTTTATAAGGGCAGACACATCCTAGGTAAAGAGGAAATAGGCAAACTAACACTGTTTTAGTGTAATAAGGAATGCTTATAATGATGAACTTTAGTCATAAAGAAAAGGTGAAATTATATTCAGTAACCCATGTTTAGGAAAGCAGAAAAGTATTTAATATGCTTGGAAAGATTCCCACCAGAGTTAACTGGATGCTTTTGAAGAGAAAAGCATTTAGGTCTATGTAATTTCAATATGCACGCGAATTAGTTCATGTTACCCTAACAATGTATTCTTACTGTCCTTTTTTATGAAATAGGAAAGTAAAACTGAAAGAACTATTGTTTTTAAAACTAGCCTTTTCTAATATTTGATATCTAAAGTTAGATAATATGTAATATGCTTTTGAACACTAACCAGAAAATAGTGTATAATAAATTACCAATAACTCATTAATTATAAAAGGAACATGTCAATACAACAAATGTTTATTTAACACCTACTGTTATTCCACATACTGTGTTAGAATTTGACTATTCGAAGATGAATAATAGTCTTTGCCCTCTGGAAGGCCACAATGAAGAAGTAATTCTCTGTATCAGATATTTCTTTGAGTGTTAAGTATATTAGTAATCATGTTGTAAATCCCAGTGTAAGTCAAGAAGCAATATCACCACCACCACCTCCCTATGATTTTGTGATAATTTGACATTCTCAATGCTTGTTAACTTTCATGTTTTTATTTTTACAAAATCATGCAGAGCTTGTTACAATTTTTAGTGGGGTTTGGATTAAAATGCTTTTTTGATGTAGCAGAAGACAAATTTTTTTCCATTTTCCATTGTTTTCCTTAAATATTAAGAATAATGAACAAAATAAACTGATTTCAAAATCACCAGGTGATCCTTCATTTATTAAGTGAAAGGAAACATTCAGATTAAGGAGATTTTTTCATACAATTCACACAGCACCCAGGATATTTAGTTATTTTGTGTAAAATGAAGAGACTAGATTTTATCAATTGTTTTCAAACTTTTAAAAATTATTTTTAGCAAGAAAACTTTTAAAATCTTTTTGTTTTTGAGCCAGGTTCTCACTATATTGCTCAGGCTGGACTCAAACTCTTCGGCTCAAGTAATCCTCCTGCCTCAGCCAATGGAGTAGCTGGGACTGCAGGTGCACCATCAGCTTGTGTTTTCATCTGTGATAATCGGGGGATTTAAAATTCTCCACTAATATATGTGAGGACAGAAATCAAAATGCCTAATGAGTGGGAAAAAACTCATATTTAGTGTTGAAATGGCAAGCAACTTTCAAAAGCATTTCAACTACTGTTACTTTCACATCAAAAAATTAACCGATTTTGCATATTTCTAAAACCACAAAGACTTTTTCCCCACACACATTCAATCCTTCATGGTTCCAATGAAATAGATAAGAAGAAGTTAACACTGTATATTGAGGTAGCGTTGACCCTGAAAGATTGCAAAAGACTGATAGTAAACATGCAGCAAGAAAGCTTTTTAAACAATGTATTGCTGGGCACAGTGGCTCACACCTGTAATCCTAGCACTTTGGGAGGCTAAGGTGGGAGGATCACCTGAGCCCAGGAGTTCTGAGGTCAACCTGGGCAACAAAGTGAGACCTCATTTTTACAAAAAATTAGAAAATTAGCTGGGCATGGTGGCACACGCATGTGGTCCCATATACAAGGGAGGTTGAGGCAGGAGGATCACTTGAGCCAGGGAGGTCGAGGCTGCAGTGGGCCATGTTCACACCACTGCACTACAACCTGGGCAACAGAACAAGGCCGTGTCTCAAAAAATATATAAATAGGCTAGGCGCAATGGCTCACGCCTGTAATCCCAACATTTTGGCAAGCTGAGGTGGGTGGATCACCTTAGGTCCAGAGTTCAAGACAAGCCTGGCCAACATAGTGAAATCCTGTCTCTACTAAAAATATAAAAAATTAGCTGGGTGTGGTGGTGGGCACCTGTAATCCCAGCTACTCAGGACGCTGAGGCAGGAGAATCATTTGAACCTGGGAGGCAGAGGTTGCAGTGAGCCGAGATCACACTATTGCACTCCAGCTTGGACAGAAAGAGCAAAACTCCGTCTCAAAAAAAAAAAAAAAAAATATATATATATATATATATATACACACACACACACACACACACAATTTATTTTAATATAAATTTATATTTATTTATAAAATATATAAATAACATTACCTGGCATTCCTCCAATTCATAAAGGTACAGTTGCTCTAATTAAAGGGACTCCTGGTTAAGCCATGGCTTTAAGAACAGTTTGAAAACCCCATTGCTTTTAAAAAACATAAAACAGCAAGTAAAATGGAAGGACAGACTGACCTCTAGTTTGGTTTGACTGGAGCTGTATGCTTAACTAAGGAGCTGGAAAACAGGCGGAGGTTGCAGTGAGCCGAGATGGTGCTACTGCACTCCAGCCTGGGCGATGGAGTGAGACTGTCTCAAAAAAAAGAAAAGAAAAGAAAAACAATACTTATTGGAATAGTCTTTATTTGTGTGTGTTAACAACAGTTTATAATGATGCTTCTACATGCTTTCAGTTACGCCCTCCTTGTGAATGTGACCTTCATTTAGATGCCAACTTTGAAGGGAATCAATACCACAGCCTTGTTCTCATTAGGGCTGTACTAAAATAACTGAAACTGTCACACATCTCATCATCAAACTCAAAATTGTACAATACCTTGAATGACACTGTGGTTACAAAACTGACGGTGATGTGTAATGATGACTAATGTAAGTCACCATGAAGAATTTTTATGGGAAGTAAAAATTCAATTAAGATGGAAGTACCTACCCTTGCATTGTGCAAGGCAATGAAGATCTGAAGTAAGCCTGCCTTCAAGGGCTTGGATTTTGACAGTGACAGGTACAAAAATACAGCACCAGGTAAAATACGGCCTGTATTATCATTTATGTCTGGGTACAGGAGAAAGCTGACTTTAGGAATGGTTTCCTGGAGAAGAAATTACTATCTGGCTTCTCGTGAAACAAAGGCTCTACATTTTACCCTTGCCAACGTAGTATGAAGGTCTTTAAAGCTTAAAAAAAAAATTAATTAGAGGAACACTGGGCATCATCTAATGCAAGTGTATCACTTTACAGTCGGGAGAAACGTATGCCTGAGCTAGAAATGCACTAGCCTACCATTATCACAAGGGCAAGTCAGTGACACAACACTCTGACTGCCAGTGCAGTGCCCTCCCACTTGATGAATCAGTCATTAAGGCGCATTGGCAAGCCCTTGGTACTTCTTCCCTTTCAGGCACTAGCTTCCTAAAGTCGACTCTGTGAAATACCTGCCAATCTTATCCTGAACCGGAGTTTCGACCCTCGGAACAGTCTTGCCCACATCTTTGGGACCTGATTCGTCCTGCTGAATCCGGCACTCGAGGGTAGGGTTGGTTGGAACCCACCCCGTCAAGTCTCTTTCAATCCCACACGGCGTCCACCCTTGCCCGCAGGATGGCGGCCCGGAAGTGACGTAGTGGAAACGGAAGTGGTGCTTTGGTTCCGACTTCCTGTTGTTTGAGGCCGGGTCGGGGGTGTGCGATTGTGTGGGACGGCCTGGGGCAGCCCAGCAGCGGCTGACTTTCTGCCTGCGGGAAAGGGAGTCGCGAGTGGGCCGTCATGGCGGTGTCGGAGAGCCAGCTCAAGAAAATGGTGTCCAAGGTGAGGCTGCGACGCGCTCGCCCTCCAGCGCGCGCCCACCGCTCCCTTCCGCGCCCTGCCGAGTCCGTCCCGGCCCAGCCAAACAAGCTTCCCAGACGGGCCGGAAGCCCCAGTACAGCTCTTAGCCACCTTCTCAGACCCCCGCCCCGAGGCGCCTGTCGCCTGGTGCGGGAATCCCCGTACGGGAGCTGGGAGGGTGGGGGGCGGCGACAGTCGACAGAGACGTGGAGCGGAAACTGCCGGACACCTGCCGCCCACCCGCCCTTCTCTCTTCCACAGAGTTTGGAGCTGTCTATGGGGCAGTGTGGTTTTTCGTCTTAGTTTCTGTAAACACAAAGACGGAATCTCATTTAGTTCTAGATCTGAGGCAATCCTCTATTGCTGTCCCAATCCAGGGATCCTCCAGTCTTAGCCTTTCTTTTGCCGACCTGCAGAGATTGTGGCCTTTTCAGTTTTGTATTCTCCGGAAAAGTCCAGAGAAGCCAAAATACCAGTCCCTTACTGAAATACCATTACCGTTTCAGGGATTTGCTAAGAGTAACTACTCTTAAGTGTATGCTGCTTATAATGCGTATTTATTTGCTTTGAGCTTAATCTATGATCTTCACGGCTCAAGGCTATTTTTTTTTTTCAATTTTTAAAAAAGCAGTTAAGCATTTTGTATTTTAAAGCCATGATTTATTTATATAATTACTTCAAACGTGGCACCTCACACCAGAGTGGAATGGCTTTTGTTATGTTTTGTTGTAATTTTCCAAAACTATGTAAAATGATTGAGAGTTGAGTCTTGACCAGTTCAACGTGTTAGCTTCGGATAGTTTTGTCAAAGCAAGAATGGTAGCAATCAGCGGTTTAAGCGGTTTCAGTTTTTAATAAAACACACTATTATGTATAAAACATTTTTAAAAACGGACTTTTTCCAGTTAAATCGCCCCCATAGTCCTTGATTGAAGACCAAGTAACCTCTAAAGAGAAAGTGACAGTTTTCAAAATAAAGCATACCTTAGTTGTGTAATCATGTATTTTAGGCTTATTGGTTTTGTTTTGACAAACTAGTTATCCTTAGTTACAGAGGACGTGTGGGAAGCCATAGAAGATTGTGACCCAGGTAAAGATCCATGTTGTAACTTTTATACATCACTTTCTGAAAAAACGGTATATTGTTTTACATAGTATGTAGCTGAAGAGTATCTGTTCCGTTACTTTTTTTTTTTTAGTGTCTTGCTCTGTCACCCAGGCTGGAGTGCAGTGCCGCGATCTTGGCTCACTGCAATCTCCGCCTTCCAGGTTCAAGCAATTCTCCTGCCTTCGCCTCCCAAGTAGCTGGAATTACAGGCGCCCACCACTTCACACAGCTGATTGTTGTATTTTTAGTAAAGTCGGGGTTTCACCATGTTGGCCAGGCTGATCTTCAACTCCAGACCTCAGTATTCCCTCTGCTTTGGCTTCCCAAAGTGCTGGGATAACAGGCATGAGCCACCACGCCTGGCCTCCATGACATTTTTGATCTTTAAATTGATAGCGTAGTCATTAAGATTTATTTCTTGGGCCGGGCGCAGTGGCTCACACCTGTAATCCTAGCACTTTGGGAGGCCAAGGCAGGTGGATCACCTGAGGTCAGGAGTTCAAGACCGGCCTGATCAACATGGTGAAACCCCGTCTCTTCTAAAATACAAAAATTAGCCGGGCATGATGGCGGGTGCCTGTAATCCCAGCTGCTTGGGAGGCTGAGACGGGAGAATCGCTTGAACCCGGGAGACGGTGGTTGCAGTGAGCCGAGATGGAGCCACTGCACTCCAGCCTGGGTGGCTGAGCAAGACTCCGTCTCAAAAAAAAAAAAAAAATTTATTCCGTAATGTATGTGTATATTCATATAAAGAGCAAGAATATTCAAATATTAGCTTATTTTTTATACCCTAATTAAGTTTCCTAAGCGTCCTCTAGAGAAACCTGCCATCAAAGACAAAGGCAAGGCATGTTCAGAAGATATTTTATACCTCTGCCTGCCTCCCCCTGCAGCCAACCTGTGATTACTCTAGAAACAAAAACAGGTAGGGAAGAGGTAGGAGAGGGCATTCTACCTGTCTTTTGGTCCTTGGCTCAGTATCTGGAAAATTGAGACTCCTGTATGTGATTATGACGATTCTGAGCATCAGCATCTGTTCTGTCTAACCTATGAATTTTAGACAGGTAAGAATAGCAAGTAGAGTAATAGAAGCAGTTGTGGGGCTCCTTCCTCCTAAAGAAGGGCTTGAAATGTTTTTCTTTCAGCTGGTGTGGTCTGATGTAAGAATTGTTAGCCAGGACCCTGCACTCATGGCTAGGGTGAAGGTCATTATTGTTTTCTCTTTATCTGATTGCAGGCTCTCCACACCCATCATGGTACTCTGGCCACCTGCCTTATGTTTTGTATGTATATTATAAAAGATCTTTTTTCCCCTTGAGCATTATCTTAGCTCCCAATTTCAACATAACTTTTAACACCCTTCTCTGTTATCATTTTTGCAATTAACAGAGGTATATTTATACCAGATTAGTCCTTCTTGCTTTAAAGAAACAACTTTCCACTTTAGATGTTTCATGCATACAACCACTTACATTTTTACATAGTTTATTTACAGCATTTCTAGAGGCGCAGTCACTGCTAAATGAGTAGAAGAAAACTGTGGGCCTGGTGTGATGGTTCATGCCTGTAATCCCAGTACTTTGGGAGGTAGAGATGGGAGGATCACTTGGGGCCAGGAGTTCAAGATCAGCCTGGGCAACATAGCTAGACCCTGTCTCTACAAAAAATTTAAAAATCAGCCAGACTTGGTGGCATGCACCTGTAGTCCTAGCTACTTGGGAAGCAGAAGCAGGAGGATTACTTAAGCCCAGGAATTCAAGGTTACAGTGAGCTATGACAGAATGAGAACCTATCTCAAAAAGTAAAAAATGAAAAAAAAAATTAATAACAAAATTGGCCAAGTGCGGTGGCTCATGCCTGTAATCCCAGCACTTTGGGAGGCTGAGGTGGGCAGATCACTTGAGGTCAGGAGTTCGAGACCAGACTGGCCAACATGGTGAAACCCTGTCTCTACTAAAAATACAAAATTAGCCAGACATGGTGGTGCGTGCCTGTAATCCCAGCTACTCAGGAGGCTGAGGAAGGAGAATTGCCTGAACCTGGGAGGTGGAGGTTGCAGTGAGCTGAGATCACGCTACTGCACTCCAGCCTGGGTGACAGAGCAAGATTCCATCTCAAAAACAAATAAATAAATAAAAATAATAAAATAAAGATTGATATGTCCCTCACACTGTTTTAGGCTCTAGGGATGCAACAGTGAACAATCAGACAAAAAAAAACTCTGCTTCTGGAATTTAAATTTTTATAGAAGACAATAAATAACTCAATAAATACATCAAGTAGTATGTTGGAAAGTGATAAGTGCTTTAGAGAAAATAAAGCAGGAAAGGGAAATGGGGAGTGCTAGGGTGTGGAAATGGGATGAGTCACAGTTTTGTATCTGATAGTAAAGAGAGGTCTTTCTGAAAAAATCTATTTGAGCTCACCTGAGAGAGGTAAAGAAACTGTGTGGTTGGCATGGGGCTCACACCTGAAATCCAAGCATTTTGGGAGGCCAAAGCTAGAGGATCGCATTGAGGCCAGGAGTTCCAGACCAGCCTGTGCAACACAGCATGACCTTGTCTCTTCTCTACTAAAAATATAAAAAAATTAACCAGTCGTGGTGTATACCTCTAATTCCAGCTACTTGGGAGGCTGAGATGGAAGGATCACTTGAGCCCAGGAGTTTGAGGTTGCAGTGAGCTGTGATCATACCACTGTACTCCAGCTTGGGTGACAGAGCGAGATCCTGTCTCAGGAGAAAAACAAACCTGGAACAATCTGGGGTAGGAACATTTCAGAAAGAAGGAGAAACAAATGCAAAGGCTCATAGACAGAAGTTTGTCATGCATGATAGAGGAACAACAAAGGAGGGTATGGTGGCTGGACTGAAGTGAGCAAGGGAGGAAGTGGTGGTATGGATCTAGACAGATCCATGGTATGGATCATCAATGGTATGAGAGGTTTGGAGGACCTTGCAGGCCATCTTAAGGACCTTGGCGTTTACTTGGAGTATGATGAAAAGCCATTGCTCTGTTTCAGCTGTTAGCAATATTACTCTAGCTGCTATGTTGAGACTAGACTGTAGTGGGTTAACGATGGAGGCAGAGACACCATAAAGAGGCTGTTGCAGTAATCTAGGTGAGAGGTGTTGGTGGCTTAGACCAGGACTGTAGCTGTGGAGATACCGGATGTATGCTGAAGGCAAAGCTAACAGGATATTTTGACAGATTGGCTGTGGATGTGAAGAAAAGAGAGGGCATCAAGGATAACGTCAAGGTTTTTGGCCTGAGCACCTGGAAGGATATGTATGTGTACACATATGGAAGACATTGGAGAAGTAAATTTGGGGGGAAGATAAGGAGTTCAGTTTTGGTCATGTTCAATTTGACATTCATTAGATATCCAAGGAGAAATGTCAAATTAGTAATTGTATATATGTTTTCTGGAGTTCAGAAAAAAGGTTAAGATTGGAAAATTTTAATTTGAGGGTTTTCAACATATAAATTATATTTTCGGCCATGAGGGAGATCAAAGGAATGAGTTTAGATAGAGAAGAAGACCAAGGACTTAGCCTGCACTCAATAATAATTGGTTAGGTTAAGAGAACAAGCCAGCAAAGAAACTGAGAAGGCACAGAGTTCAGGAGAACAGTTGATGTCCTGGAAATCAAATGAAGAACATATTTTAAGAGAAAAGGGGCTGGCCATGATGGCTCATGCCTCTAATCCCAACACTTTGGGAGGCTGAGGTGGAAAGATTGCTTGAGCCTAGAAGTTCAAGACTAGCCTGGGCAACATGGTGAAATCCAGCTCTATCAAAAATATACAAAAATTAGCTAGACATCGTGGTGTGTACCTGTAGTCTCAGCTACTTGGGAGGCTGAGGTGGGAGG